AAAACAACATCAATGTGAATTCCTTCTTATTGAAGCTAAAAATAACGTATGTCATGCATCCCAAAGCCACACAGCGAGAACTGTGGTTTGGGCAGCTGGAGGAGCCACTGCCGACAGGCATGCCGGGGCCTGCGCAGGAAACCAGGGTTTCGGGCATGCGTGCGTGTTCTTGCCGTACTTAGCGCAGCTCAGAGCTAATGGAGAACAGGTCAAGGTGGAAATGTTTTGTTCCTTCTTTCCTCCCATGCGCAGGGTAAGACCTGGAATGAAGTCATGGCAACACATCGGAAACTTCCTACTGATCAAGTAGACTTGAGAAAGCAGCAAGAGGCCGTGTGGGAACTTTTTGCCAGCGAATGCACTTATTTCTTGGACCATTTATTAGTTCTTAAGATGGTAATGCTGGGCTCGCTTTTTGCAATAGATGGAAAATATTATTTTGATTTGGGGGGAATTTGTTTTCCTCTTCCACATGGAAAACAGGAAGTTGGGGGTGGAGGTCCCCTCTTTTAGGAGATCTTAAAAAAATGTGTCTACTGTTTATCTACTACTTGGCTGTCTCTTCATTCTTTTCTTGAACATAGTCTGCCAAGATTGGAGGAGGTCTTCTAAGTAAACTATTCCAGCTGCCCATCTGATGTCTGACTTGCCTCTACCTATTCTCACCATGTGCTTACACTTGCTTACACGCCTCTCCAGTCAGGGAGCGCAGATCCACCCTGCAGGAACACCCCCCACCACCACCACCACCACTGATCAGCTTCCACTTTCTGAGCACTTGCTCCCGCTGAGCAGTGCTGGGAGCATGTGTTTTATCAGCTGCAGGGCCACCGTCACAGATTCCCAGGCAGCCACCCACATGTAATGCAGTGGGGCTGCATGACATGGTATATTCGTAATGTCTACCAGGTAAATGGTGTCCCTGAGGGAGTGCCGTGCTGCAGCCAGATCTGGTGAGGTTCTGAGCAAAGAATCCTCATAGAAGAACCACAGGACAAGGATGGCAAGGGAGCCATTGCCTTCCAAGACCACGGGGAGGAAGAGCCATAGGGCTCCCAGCTTGACTCCGCCCGTAAATACTTATGAATCCTGCCTACTATCTTGCACAGGAAAAAGCACTGTGTGAAGAGCACGTAGGGAGAACTAAGTGCAAGTCCTGGATCTGTTTCTGACTTGTCATGTGACCCTAGAAAAGTCCAGTCCTCCATTTCCTAAACCAGAGGTTGGCAAACACTTCCTGTGAAGGTAATAGTAAATACAAGGTAGAGCAAACGTAGTTTACAGTTGTTTGTCTGGAAAATAATACAATAGTTAATAATAATAATACAAGAATAAACCCTGTGTTTCGCATACTCACAACTGTAAACCTGCTGTTGCCTCACCCTGTATGTTGGGCTTTGCAGACTCTGAGGTCTTTATTATAACTCCTCAGCTCTTCCTTTGCAGTTCCGAGGAAGCTACGGGTAATTTATAAAGGAATGTGATAGCTGGGTTGTAATCAACATTATTTATGGAAGCAGGTAGCAGGCCTGATCTACCCCGCAGGCTGTCATTTGACAATCCCTTTCCTAAGCTCTAAAAGAAGGATGGCAATACCATCTCTGGCTGTCTCATGGCATCTCAGCATTGTGATCATCAGATTAGTTTTCTTTGAAATCTACCAAGTGACATACAAATGTCAGTCATTATTTTCTGCAAAGCATTCTTCTGTCAATAAGTTGATCTTTGTTTAGTTTATAGACGCAGGGAAGATTATCTGTGAGGCTTGTAGTTCTTCCTTGACTTGCTGTAGAGTAGCCTCCTGCCAGATGAAAGCATCAAGTCAAGAAACAATAGCACAGAGGCTCCCTGAACGCTTTCAGTCATAGTTAATGCCTTTATCCAAATGCAAGCATCCTACCAGCTACAGATATTGACTCATTAGTTCTCTTTTTTTCATTTCCTGCAAGTAAAAGGCATTTGAATCTTTTGCAGAGGAAGGTATAAATAAGCATCCAGGATGGAAGTTGTTTTGGTCTCACATTAGTGCTCTTGATAAGAAGAGAACCGGTGAGATTTCTTGACTCCGGGAGGCAGAGAAAGCCCATTAGAACAGATGATGTTCGACAGGAATGTTGTCAGGGCGCATATCAGCAACAACACCGTCATGCAGAAGAGCACAGTTCCCACATGTTCCATGGAGCTTAAATGTCACCATTGGTATTTAGGAAAATTCTGAAACCTCAAAAATACTGATTTCTAAACTGTTTTGTAAAGTTGTAGTCAGGAGGTTTATGTTCAATGCTCTTGGAAAGGGCAAGTTTCAAAACTGAAAACAAAGTAATCTGCATTTCTTCTTTTTTTAAAGATCTTCATGAATACACTAAAATATCTACAAACCCATGAATATCTCCTGGATGTGGATTCATGGCGCCTTTTTGCAAACCTGGAGGAGTTAAGTCAGGTGAGCCAAAGTAGAAAGACACCGGGAGACATGTTTTGAAATTCACCAGAGGGGTCATGAAAATGCATGTTTGTTCTATTCTTGTGGCTTGTATTCCTCGCTGCAATACAGAACATGGTTCGTTCCCCCATATAATATCATGGTCAGGAGGTCAGGTTAATAAGAAGGAAATCTAAACATTCATTGATATCTTGCCAATAGATCACATATATCAGCCTTCAGTAGCATTTTTCATTTTAACTTGGCCGTTTAAGAAAGTAAACATATTCTCAAGATCTCCTTAACCTTCATAAATGTTTGTTCTCAAATGAATGTCCTTTTCTCATATATTATAAATCAATAACATCTTTCCTCCAAAAGGAAGAGAAGAGATTCCAAAAAGAATTTATTTATATAAAAAACTTATAAGAAAATATATATTGAAAGGAAAATAAATCTGAATTTTGCCAGGAGGTAAATTGTAATGAGAAACAGCTGTAGAATGATATTTGAAGTTCATCAAATATTTATTCCTTCCCTTGGGTGTGTGCCTACTCTTGTTTCCTTTCTCTCTGGCCCTAGACAAGCTATGGTTTTGTGAGCAGTCTTTTTGCCATCATCAAGGACTACTTCGATGCCTCTGAGACTTCACCACCCATGGATTTCATTTCCGTGCTCGCGAAGGTAAAATCCTTTTGGGAGACCTCAGACTCATGCAATAAACTCACCCTCTCTCAGGATAGCTGTTCATATCTACTTGACTTTTTGTTTTTGTTGTTCCTACAAAGGAACCATCCTTTTCTCTCTGCCAACAGACGTTTTCAAAAATAACTTGCAGACTCTGTTTTCCCATTGTCACCTCTGCCATGTGGGTTTTATTAACACAGAAATGCGCACACATGGAAAAGCCATTTCCAAGTCTGTCTTTTAAATGACTTCAATTTAAAGCAATATTCATGGTAATGGCTTGTGTAGGCCAATTACATGGTTCAGTTGTTCTTCTAACAAAAGTGTCAGCCTTTCAGACAAAAATAAATAAATAAATAAATAGCCCTTCAAACCTAACAGCACCCTTAATAGTACCTCTGGTTTGAAAGAAGAGGAAAACCTGTAGCCCTGGTTTGTTAAATGCTATTTATTTCTTGAGTAGATATTTGAGCCTCCTCCCTACTTTTTTTTTTTTTACTTTGAGCTTTTTAGTCCAGTTTCTATCTATTCACATTTAGCAAGATTTGACTTCATACAATCCACTTTAAAAAGCTGGATTGAGATTTATTGAGCATTTACTAAAGGCTATGTGTGGGGCCAAGACCCTCTTCAAAAAATGTGCAAAACCAGGCACACTCCTGCTCGTTTTCAATCTAGTGGGGGAGAGCTTAATTCAAGCAGTACAGTAATAATTATATAATCAAATGGAGGTCAATGCTGAGGCAAACAGGAACATAGATATTACCAAGGAAAGCTTCCTGGCTATGGCAGTGGCTGGGGAGGTTTCAGACAGGAAATTCTTCCTGGGGCAGAGATGTTTGAGGTGAGACATGCGGGAGGAGGAGTGTGTTAACAAGGCAAAAACACATAGAAAACTAGGTATAAAGTAGGGAGATCCTCAAGTGAACTTAGAAAAGAGATTTGAATAAGAAAAACTTTGGAAAACAAGAGGAAGAATGTGAAGTGTTGGGAAGTAGCTAAAGTCTTAGGTTCCCTC